GGCGGAGGAGGCGGCGGGGGGGGGCTCTGGTTGGGGCAGGTGCCCAGGGGAGGCCCTGGCAGGGATTTTGGGGCTTTTTTTGTTTTTAATTTTGATTTTGTTTTGTATCCTCAGTGCTGGTGCCTCATGCCACCACCCCCAGACCTGCCCCTCCATTGCTGAGCTCCGGGAAGTGACACGGCCCCGGTCCCCCAGCCCAGAGGCAGCCCTGGCTGCAGGTGTGGGCGCAATTTCTGCCAGGCCACCCTCAGTCCTCAAGGCAGAGACACTGAGCAGCAGGGACCCTTCTGGCCTGATCAGCAGCTGGCAAATGTGGTGGAACTAGCCAAGCCTCTGAGTTTCCAGGCAGCCACGAGAGCAAGATGGGATGGGGTGTGTGCAGAGCACCAGGAGGCTCTGAAGCTGTTCTGTGAAGAGGATCAAACTCCCATCTGTGTGGTGTGTGACAGATCCCAGGCTCACAGGGAGCTGCCCATAAAGGAAACTGCCCAGGAATACAAGGTACAGAGTTGCTGTCCAATGTGTTTTTATTATCGGTGCTAGTTATTGGTTGAACTCCCCATTGCCCCACCAATGCCTGCTTCCCTCTGGTAGCTAGCATCAGTCTGCAACTGCTGGGAGTTCCCATCAGCCAGCAGTCCTTGTGGCCACCCCAGGCAGACCTCGAGAGAGATCCCTGGCCCAGGAGAGCCCATTTCTGCTATCAGCCCTGCCTGTCAGCCGGTTAAAAAACTCCTGTCACTGATAAAATTGTAATTGGTTACATGATTAGTATTGTTAACCATTTTTACCTCCCTAATATCCACCTGCATCATTCTTTATAACGGTGCCACCACTGATCCTTTCCCCATCCTTGCAGGTGTCCTGCTGCATCCGCAGTCTCCTCCTGTGTCTTTTTCTATGGACAAAACCATGTCCAGGGCTGAGTCCCTGCTGGATAGGGGCAGAGCTCCACAAAACAGGGACTCTCTTAAAGGCAGACAAATGGGCTCCCAACATCTGATGGGGTTTGCCCTTGTGCTTTTATATCTGTTTCTTCAGGAAAAATTGGAGGCCCATTTGAAGACTCTGAGGGAAGAGAGAGATCAGGTACTGGGAAGGAAAACAACAGCAGAAGGGAAACGCCAGGAGTATCTGGTAAGTGCTTGTGGCTATGGACCAGCAGGGACTGGCAGTGGGAGGGCTGTGTTAGGAGGCAGACTCCTGTGTGGCCTTGGTGAGGTTGGGCTTGTTTGTGTTTATCCTGGATTGTGGATTGCAGGATGAGATCCATGTGTAGAAAGGCCTTGAGCATCCATGTCAGTGCATGAGTCCAGGGCTGACTTATTCATTAGTCACAGTAGGCACAGTGCCTAGGGCCCATGATACTTTTAGGGGCCCACAAAATGTTTTAATTTCTTTTAAAATCAGAAGGAAAAAAAATGAACTTTAGGGTCAAAGAAAATGTTCTAACTTTTTCTCACATCAGAAAAAAATGAAACTTTTAGGGCCCATGAAAATCTATTAAATTTTGCCTAAAACAGAAAAAAATAAAATGTTGAAGTATTTAAAGTTATATCAAAAATAATTTTTAATATTGATATTATTATGGTGGAAGGGGCCATGAAGGCATAAGTACCTTGTGCCCACAACATTTTTAGAGCTCACAAAAATGTTTATTAAAATACAAAAAAAAACAGTATTTAAAAAATTAATTGTTTTTATTATATTATTAATTGTAATAATTCAAATCGAAAGAGCTCAACTCAACAATCGGATATTACACCGTAACAGAATTTCCATCAGTAATACACATTTGCATTTTTACTGAATACTTTCTTGCACATGTATACATATAATAATTTTATGGAACTACTTATCAATTATGAAATAAGGTGAGTATATTTGAGATGTAATGGTTTTTTAAAAATGTTATAACTAAGCACCCAATATAAACACAATGAAATATACATGTGCACTTCATTCCATTCAAATTTATTCACCGGTATTTAGTGAATAACAATCCTGTATTTGCAAAATTAATAAATTATTTATATAAGGTCATCACTAACCTAAATAGATGATAACTTACTGATGAAATTACTTATAATACATTCCTTTTAAGTAATCAAAACAGAGAATGCTTTGATATATGCACTATTATTTTGTACTATAGTGAGAAGCTTAGTGACTGTAAACTGTATGGCCAATATGGCCTCGGCCATAGACGCCAACTGAATGATGGTGGATAGGAGGCCCACTTAGCCTCAGCACAGTTTACTTTTTGCAATAAGCGAGAGAGATACTTCGATTGTGTTGGTATAAAGACGAATATAATCCAGCCTGAATTATATTAATCTATATACCAATGTAGCCGTAAAATATAATTTTTAATATATATATTTTTTTTTATGGAGGAAGGGGCCCATGAAGGCAAAAGTGCCTAGGGCCCACAAAAGTCATAATGTGGCCCTGCATGGGTCCAGCCTTTGTGGCTTTCCCAGACATCCTCCCCAAAGGAGCTGAGTGTCCCCCTGAAAGGCTCTCTGCTCACTTGGTGCATTAACATGTTTCCTTCTTTTTCCTCCCTGGGTATCTCTGTCAGGGTGGTGCTGACTCCTGCCTCATGCTGTTCAGGGTCTGAATTTCCAGAGCCCGTGAATAACACAAGATGCTGCCCATGACAGACATGGGAACATCCCTTTCAGAGGGACACGGGGGCCAAAGGAGATGCTGGGAGAGCTACTTCTGCCTAGTAACCACAAAGTAGAGTCAAATGTCACACGTTTTACAGTTTTCCAAGAAATTCTCCCTGCTACGCACTCAGCTCCCCATGAAAGGGCCCTGGGCTCCTTTTATGCCCCTGACCAGCCCTTTCCCTGTTTTCATACAGAAATGGACCCAAGCAGAGAGGCAGATGATTGTGGCTGAGTTTCAGCAGCTCCGGAAGTTCCTGGAGGAACAAGAACGACTTCTGCTGGCCCAGCTGGAGAAGCTGGATGAGGAGATTGGGAGGCTCCAGACTGACACTGTCAGGAAACTCTCTGTGCAGATTTCCCGTATCAGCGAGTGGATCAGTGAGCTGGAGGGGAAGTGTCAGAAGCCAGCGAATGAATTCCTGAAGGTGAGACTGAGGGAGAAACGTCTCAGCTCCCCAAGCAGGGAATGCGGGCTCCTGAATCACAAGTGCTGAGGTCCAGCTGTCAGATCTGGGTGTAACTCTATGTGCATTGCTGCCATATGAGTAATTGCTGTGCTTTGTAAAGTTACAGGCACAAAGCTACTAGAGATTGTAAAGCCCCATTTTCTCAGGGGATCCATTTTCCTGGGGCCAGGGCAGGGGCTCTCTTCCCATGTTTGCAAAATCCCTTCTCTGAGGTACTCTGTGTGTGTCCAATGGGGCTGAGAATCTTTTCTGTGTTTTTTTTTCTAGGACGTCAGAAACACCCTGAGTAGGTATGTGGCTCTCACTCCCCTCACTCTGCACAGCACAGGGAAAAAGCTTGGATCTGATGTTAGCACCACATCTCCACAGGTCTCTACAGCCAGATGTTAGATACGAATATTTTTGATTTATTTAATTCTGAGAGTCTCACCCTCACAAAGCAGACTCTGGAATTCTCCATTCAGGGCACAATCTGACCTCAAGTGTTTCGTGGAGCTGTCGCCTCCCCTTGGACTGGCTACCTCAGAACTGTGGGGTGGAACATGGGCCTGGCACTGCTGGGCACTGGGCACAGTCAGGCCAGGGCAGCAAGGACCAAGAGTCTGTTCCACCTGAGGGCTATTTGGAGACCTGTGTGGAAGGAGCTGGGGAGGGTGAAGCTGGTGTCTTTGTCTAGTCCCTATTGGACAGATTCCTTTAGCCCTTCACCTGAGAACCTCTTGCCTCTCAGTGCCTGGAGGCGAAGGAGTGAGTTGCCCATGAAGACTCAATTCCCCTTTTCTCCCCCAGCCAGTCTCCTCAGGCCAGAAGGGAAGAACAGCAATGGGGCCTTTCAGGGGAAGGTTGCATGGCCATGGACTGTGTTGCCCCTGCTCTCAGGCTGGGAAAATTAGAGGATTCTAACTCCAAGCCTGTTAGAGCTGAGACTCACTAGCCAGATCTTATCAGAAGTAAATGAAATACAATCACATGGAATTGTTTCTGTCCAGGTGTGAGACGGGGCAGTTCCAGCTGCCAGAGGAGATTTCCCCTGAACTGGAAGAACAAGTCAGAGGTTTCTCTCAGCAAATGATTGTGCTGTCGGAGACTCTGAGGCAGTTCAAAGGTACCTCATAGACTTTAAGGTCAGAAGGGACCATTATGATCATCTAGTCTGACCCCCTGCACAGTGCAGGCCACAGAATCTCACCCACCCCTCCTAGAATAATCCTCTCACCTATATCTCAGATATTGAAGCCTTCTAATACTTTGAAGACCCCAAGATGCAGAGAATCCTCCAGCTGTGATCTCTACCGCATGCTACAGAGGAAGGTGAAAAACCTCCAGGGCCTCTGCCAATCTACCCTGGAGGAAAATTCCTTCCCTACCCCAAATATGGCGATCAGCTAAACCCTGAGCATGTGGGCAAGACTCATCAGCCAGACACCCAGAAAGTTCTCTATAGTAATTCCTATCATCCCTCCATTGACCTATTTCCCACTGATAATGAATGGTTAATTAGTTACCAAGATCATGTTATCTCATCAAACCATCCCTTCATCAAGGGATGGATGAGGGGAAAGTGGTTCAAGTATCTGAGACCATTGAATCTGGCCTCTGAAGCCAACCTTCCCCTGCCTCAATTCACACACAAAGAATGACGGCCCCATCACTCTGCTGTCCTTAGAGACACTGATTGAACAGACCCAACTACTTGCAGATAGAGCCAGCCGTTTTCAAACTCTGAACCTCCCATTCAGAGATCAAAATGGCTAAAGTTACTGTGATGGCCACGTGTTCCGCCACCACAGCTCCAGGTTATGATAAGAGTCTGTAAGTGAATGAGAAAGCAAGTGTGAGTGGGTGAGGAGGGAAGAGTAAATCTAATTTACAGCTTGTCTCTCCTGGGACGGGTGTGAGGTTGCAGGGATATTGGCTCCATTGCTGGGAGGTGCCCAAGTGAGAGAGGAAACAAAAGTTTCAGACTCTTTCATAGTAAATACCTGAGTTTGTCTCTGTCTGGTCTCTGATACAATTGAAACACAGAGTTCAGAGTGGGGACATTGTTATAAATTGGAGAGCCTGGAATCTCACCTCTCTTATCCCTTCCCCCACCAGACATGCTGCCCTCTGCACTGGAGAGAGCAGGAAGAAAATCCCTGGGAGCTTTCAGACAGGGTGAGTTTGCAGGTGGAGATTCTTTAAATGATGAGAAAATTCCTGTGAAAACATCTTCATGGGATTGTCATTGAAGTTACCAACCAGACCCAGTGACCACGGCGAGCACAGCCCTAAATCTCACCCACTGATCAGAGAGGCGACCCACGGGGCACTGCATGGGGACCTGCGGACACTTTGAGAAACACTGGTCTATGGGTTTGTGATGCTAGAGGGGTGAAGTTAAAGCACACAACGGACAGAACCTTCAGGCTCAGATTTCACTGCTCAGTCTGTTTCAATATGGGGTTCTTGAATCATAGGACTGGAAGGGACCTAGAGAGGTCGAGTCCAGCCTCCCGCCCTCAAGGCAGGACCGAGCTCTGTCTACACCATCCCTGACAGATGTCTATCTAACCTGTTCTTAAATATCTCCAGAGAGGGAGATTCCACCACCTCCCTTGGCAATTTATTCCAATATTTGACCACCCTGACAGTTAGGAATTTTTTCCTAATGTCCAATCTAAACCTCCCCTGCTGCACTTTAAGCCCATTACTCCTTGTCCTGTCCTCAGAAACCAAGAGAAACAAATTTTCTCCTTCCTCCTTGTGACACCCTTTTAGATATTTGAAAACCACTATCATGTCCCCCCTTAATCTTCGTTTTTCCAAACTAAACAAGCCCAGTTCACGAAGCCTGGCTTCATAGGTCATGTTCTCTAAACCTTTAATCATTCTTGTCACTCTTCTCTGTACCCTTTCCAATTTCTCCACATCTTTCTTGAAATGTGGCGCCCAGAACTGGACACAGTACTCCAGCTGAGGCCTAACTAGTGCAGAATAGAGCGGCAGAATGACTTCACGAGTTTTGCTTACAACACACCTGTTAATACAACCTAGAATCATATTTGCTTTTTTGGCAACAGCATCACACTGTTGACTCATATTCAACTTGTGGTCCACTATGACCCCTAGATCCCTTTCCGCCATGCTCCTTCCTAGACAGTCGCTTCCCATCTTGTATGTATGGAACTGATTGTTCCTTCCTAAGTGGAGCACTCTGCATTTCTCCTTATTAAACCTCATCCTGTTTACCTCTGACCATTTCTCTAACTTGCTAAGGTCATTCTGAATTATGTCCCTATCCTCCAAAGAAGTTGCAACCCCACCCAGTTTGGTATCATCTGCAAACTTAATAAGAGTACTCTCTATCCCAATATCTACATCATTGATGAAGATATTGAACAGTACGGGTCCCAAAACAGACCCTTGAGGAACTCCACTTGTTATCCCTTTCCAGCAGGATTTAGAACCGTTAACAACAACTCTCTGACTACGGTTATCCAGCCAATTATGCACCCACCTTATCGTGGCCCTATCTAAGTTATATTTGCCTAGTTTATCAATAAGAATATCATGCGAGACCGTATCAAATGCCTTACTAAAGTCTAGGTATATGACATCCACCGCTTCTCCCTTATCCACAAGGCTCGTTATCCTATCAAAGAAAGCTATCAGATTAGTTTGGCATGACTTGTTCTTCACAAACCCATGCTGGCTATTCCCTATCACTTTATTACCTTCCAAGTGTTTGCATATGATTTCCTTAATTACCTGCTCCATTATCTTCCCTGGGACAGACGTTAAACTGACCGGTCTATAATTTCCTGGGTTGTTCTTATTCCCCTTTTTATAGATGGGCACAATATTTGCCCTTTTCCAGTCTTCTGGAATCTCCCCTGTCTGCCATGATTTTTCAAAGATCATAGCTAAAGGCTCAGATACCTCCTCTATCAGCTCCTTGAGTATCCTGGGATGCATTTCATCAGGACCTGGTGACTTGCTGACATCTAACTTTCCTAAGTGATTTTTAACTTGTTCTTTGTGTATCCTATCTTCTAAACTTACCCTCTCTCTGCTTGTATTCACTACGTTAGGCACACCTCCAGACTTCTCGGTGAAGACCGAAACAAAGAAGTCATTGAGCATCTCCGCCATTTCCAAGTTCCCTGTTACTGCTTCTCCCTCCTCACTAAGCAGTGGGCCTACCCTGTCCTTGGTCTTCCTCTTGCTTTTAATGTATTTATAAAAGGTCTTCTTGTTTCCCTTTATGCCTGTAGCTAGTTTGATCTCATTTTGTGCCTTTGCCTTTCTAATCTTGCCCCTGCATTCCCGTGTTGCTTGCCTATATTCATCCTTTGTTAGTTGTCCTAGTTTCCATTTTTTATATGACTCCTTTTTTATTTTGAGATCATGCAAGATCTCCTTGTTAAGCCAAGCTGGTCTTTTGCCATATTTTCTATCTTTCCTACACAGCGGAATTGTTTGCTTTTGGGCCCTTAACAACGTCCCTTTGAAATACTTCCAACTCTCCTCAGTTGTTTTTCCCTTCAGTCTTGCTTCCCATGGGACCTTACCTACAAGTTCTCTGAGCTTATCAAAATCTGCCTTCCTGAAATCCATAACCTCAATTGTGCTGGTCTCCCTTCTACCTTTCCTTAAGATCATGAACTCTATTATTTCATGATCACTGTCCCCTATACTGTCTTCCACTTTCAAGTTCTCAACTAGTTCCTCCCTATTTGTTAAAACCAAATCCAGAACAGCTTCTCCTCTGGTAGCTTTTTCAACCTTCTGAAACAGAAAGTTGTCTCCAATGCAGTCCAGAAACTTATTGGATAGCCTGTGCCTCGCTGTGTTAGTTTCCCAACATATGTCTGGATAGTTGAAGTCCCCCATCACCACCAAATCTTGGGCTTTGGATAGTTTTGTTAATTGTTTAAAAAAGGCCTCATCCACCTCTTCCACCTGGCTAGGTGGCCTGTAGTAGACTCCTAGCATGATATCACCCTCGTTTTTTACCCCTTTTAGCTTAACCCAGAGACTCTCTACACAGCTATCTCCTACGTTCATCTCCACTTCAGTCCAAGTGTGTACATTTTTAATATACAAGGCAACCCCTCCTCCCTTTTTTCCCTGTCTGTCCTTCCTGACAGAATGTGCTCAGCATGTTTGTCTTAGACCTGCCCACTCTTCCCTGTTGAAGAAACAAAAACATGAACAGGGAAGAACTGTTCATTCTTCTTTTAAAAGACTAGGGGGGCAGTGTCCCCTGCTCTCTCTGCTTCCAAACTCAGCC